GTGATTAAATTGTCAGAATATTGAAATTACAAACTTAGATTGCTGTAGATCATAGATTAGCCCTTTTCCTTCCTGACCTTACCACTCCTAAGGAAAAAAGAAAAGAAAAGAAAAAAGAGAACACTTATTAGAAATAGTCACCCCAAAGAATATTTCTAATTGTACTTGCTCTTATTTTTACATCAGTGGTTTTTTTTCCCTATCCATATTTCAACAAGATACACTTACTCACATTTGCTTAATTATTTTTTTAAAGTCCAGTTAGACTGGTTTCTAAAACCTTGCCTGATCTATTCAAACTATAGGACCACAAAAAGAAAATACTTGGCAAAGTAGGTGAAACTTCAGTTTTATTGCAGGATAACTCTACTAGGCTTTGAAATGCTTGCGTGTGCTGAAGTTGCTGTTCAAGCATATCTTTATAAAAGCACTACTTGACCAAGATTATTTTTTCTCTCCCAGTCTCTACATGCATGCTCTCTTTTTAAGATTACTTATGAGGAAAGTTAAACATAATAACTTGGAAATGTGGGTAATTTGATTCCTGCCTCCTTGGGTGTGGAAGTTACTGTCTGTAAAGTGGCAGGTGCACCCTAAGAAGCTGAGCTGTTTTCTTTTTTTAAAAAAACCTAAACAAAAAGTAAAAAGGAAACCATACTTCTGTTATACAGTTAGGGTGATTAAATTGTCGCTGGCTATCTTAATTATTTGGAACTGCTGCATAGTGAGAATGTAGTTTCATTTATCTGTCATTTGATGGTGTAGGTAATCAATAAATGAATTGTTATTTGGAAAGATCTAATTGCAGCCTCCCATTCAGCAGAATACTCATACAAATGGTGTGCACAAGTGTAGGAGTGCAGGTGGCTTTGTCTTCCCTGCGGTGGTGCGTTGTTTTTGAAGTGGGGGGGAAGGCAGGTGTGGCTATGGATGAATGATGTAGCTTGCTCCAGGGCAAGATTGTCCTGCAGTATTGGGGAAATCTGAAGTATTGCTTTAAGCTACATCTTGTACTGTGATGAAATACTGAGAACAGCTTTTTTTTCTTTTATGTATTTGAATATTGCCTTCAGAAGAGTTCTGTGCCTTACACTTGTGTAAAGTTATTTCCCATAGGGGCATCATATGCCTTTTATTCTTTTTTTTTCTTTCTTTTTTTTCTTTGAATAGCAACATTTGTAACTCCTATTCTGAGCATTTTCATGCTCTTTTCTACATGTGTATTTATTTCAATTTCATTATTTTCCCTCAAAACTTGGGGTTGGAGTAACACGCTGAAGATTGTAGGACATTGGGTGTCTAGCAGAAACCGTAAGAGCACAGTGTGAGCTGGGCTAGAGCGACTGTGAAACTATGCAGAAGGGAAGTGGGAATGGTCACTGTATTTTTCCTTTTCTGCAGACCTCCTTGCCTAAATAAACAGGAGGAATTAAACCTGGAAAGGCTGAAGGCCTTTTTTTCCCTGGCAGCACTGGCTGAAGCAGCCACTTTTGCTGGCTTTTTCACCATTGTCGCTCCTGCAGTTGAGTGTAGCACAGCTGCGTGTGATAAAGAGTTCCTTGAGGCTAGATGTGTTTTCCTGAAGCAGCTGGCTGTGTAGCCACTCCAGTTGGGGCACTGGCACAATTCAGGAGGTGTGAGAAGGGCTGTTTGCAGCAGCAGCTCTCAACACACTCAGGTCTGACTCTGGTCTCGCCTCCTTTTTTAACTTGCTTGGATTGTCCAAAACTGTTGTGCTTGTGATTATTATTTTGCCTTCACTTCCCTAATGTATAGTAGGGAGGAGAGTTTTCTGTCCTATTACAAGTTAGACTTTTCTCTTTTTTGGGCTCAGGAAGGAAATTTTGGGTTTGTGCCAAATTGGCAAGAGGATTGACAGTTTATTGTTTTCTCCCCGCAGCTTCAGGGTGACACGTTTGAATTAATAGTAGCAAATTCTCAGAGGTTAGCAATAGGATAAGCTTCTTGCTGCTTGTGGCTACTATAGACTAGAACTACCTGCTACAGGTGATAAAGGAATTTCAGATTTATTGTCTGGTACATCTGGTGCTTATAAGGAGAGGGTAACGTGATATTTCTGTGTTCTGATGTCTATCACCTGGCTGGCCTCTGCTCTCTGATTCTTTCTACCTTGTTGGGGGAAGGAAATGAGATGGGTCTTTGGCTGAGGAATTGTGCTGGGAACATACTTTGAGTCCTTTTAACTTTCCCTGAAGCCAATTAAGTGAGTACTTGGGGAAGAGGGGAAAGGATAGGGAAGAAGGGGAAAATAATTTGTTGACTGATAGAATTGCAGCTTGCTTTTTCAAATCCATTTGTATTTATTGTACACTTAACTGCTTGTCGAGGATACAGGCTAAATATACCCGAGGAAACTACAAAAGGTGTTTCATAGAGACTGCAAGATGCAAAGCCATTCTTTGCTCTACCTGTTAGTAGTCAGGTGTGGTACGTTTCAGGCAAGTCAGGACATGATTCTTTAACTAGCTTAAAAAAATATCCCATTTTGTTTGACATAAACAGTTTCTTTATGTTAGGAAATCCTGGTGGAGTATCACATAAACTCCCACGACAAAGCAGACAGGTGAAGACACCTTAGACATGTTTCATTTTAGGCATGTTGCTTTCCTTGCTAATCCCTGCGTTACGGCAGACTGTGCCTGTGTTTTCAAATAGGAATTAACTTGAAAAAATTATTTCTTTAGTTTGATAAGTTTCAAATACTTCTATTAAAAAGATTAACATAAAACAGCGAGTACAGTATGATTTATGAATATAATATGGCTAAGAGGGCAATGAAAAAATTCCAATTTTTTTGTTGTGTTTTTCTTAAACATGGTATTCAGTGGCAGCAGTAAATAACTCAGGTGGCATCACATAGGCAGTATGTTGCTTTGCTGGTTTTACTTATACAGGTCTGTCTTAAGGTAACAGAAGCATTAGAAAGAAATGGCAAAGTACTATTTGATTATAAGCTGAAATATTAGCCAGAAACTCTTGTTGTGTATAATAGCCTGAAACTGTTTTCTATTATATTTAATAAACTACATTTTAAATTCAAATAAGAAATTCAAAGAGCAGTATTTATTCTCCATTTGGTAGTCTTTTAACATTTCCAGTTATAAAAGACTGCATAACCTTTAAAATCAGTATGTTAATACTGAATATGTGTGTCCTTAGTTCTTAAGTGTCCCTTTTGGGCCGCTGTCAGAGACAAGGCAATGACTTTGAAGGATTTTGGTCTGACCCAGCACAACTGTTCTGAAATTCTGTGACACTTCAGGATACCTTTGACATAGTACGGGGCAGCACCCTGGATTCTGAGCTTCCTGGCTTGATGAGGATGGGGTTGTTTTGTTTTGTTTGGGGGCTTTTTGTTTGGTTTTGGGGGTTTTTTTTGTTTGTTTAGGGGTTTTTTTGTTTATTTTCTCAGAAGATAGCAATATGGAAGTACTGCATAACTGACAAAATGTTTTATCTTATAGTCCATGTAATGGGAAACATCAGGCAGAAATTTGCTTCTTTTTGCTTTCCAGGATGATTTTCAACCAGTTCTCTAGGGAATGTTGAATGTTCTCTACTACGGTGAAAAGATTTATGGGAGCTCTTTGTATCATTAAAACTATATACTTCTGAAATGTCCTTTAAAAACTATTTTTAAGTTTCTCTGTATGCCAGAGAAGAAAATAGCAAACATGATGTTTGACCCAGCACTTTTCCAACCATTAGCCATAGTTCCTAATGGAATACTTCCTAAACATTTGTTCTACCAATCACTGTTGTTCAGATGACCTCTTTTTGTCTTATAATCACCTAATGTTTTTGTAGCAGAGAGAAGAATTGCTTATGCAAGTAGCAATAAGAAAGTATTATCTGTCTTTAGAACAATTTATTGGGGTTTGTTTTCATTTAATTCTTGTTTCCTGTCTCTCGTTTTCCTTAATGGAGATAAACTGAAATTACAGAGGCAACATTGATTGTGCATTTCCATGAATTTTAACAACCCAGTTATTCTTCATTGTAGGAAACTGATAGCCACTACCCAGAGAAGTTTGATATTATCAGTGTAATTAATATATTTATGCTAAAGCAAAGCTATCTTGGATTTACTTCTCAACAGGTATTTATTTCCTGTTTTGCCTGGAGTCAATAAATAATGAAGAGTTTCAGAGTTTGAAAGGAATAATTTTCTGCTTAAATGATTCTCCTGAAGTGATGTTTATTTGTCACTGAAGTTAATTGAATGCTGGAGGTGGATTTCTAAAGCTGCGGAGTTCATGTCCTAGGATATATTCTCTCTCTTCTGTTGTGTAGCACATGATTTCAAGGCAGTTCTTTTGAGTAAAAGAATTAAACTGTGCAGGGCTACCAGAGTTCATGCACAAAGTAGTTGGTATAATCATATCTCTGTATCTACAGGTCATCCTTTAAAAAAACTACTTGGCAATTTATCTTGCAGGTCACTTATTAGCAGGATTTGCATGTTGTTTTCTGATTTTTGTTACTTAGGGGATGTGATTGTTCTTGTAGAGATAGTTGTAAGTTTCCATTGCTTAACTTTCGGTTTTGCTTAAGCCTTACATAAGACTTGCTGTGCATTTGGCTATTGAGAAACTGTATTTCCAATTTAATTTAAAATTGTACTGTATGAGTCTCACATTAGAGATGATAGTTGTGTCCAAGTTTTTCAAACTCCTAGTATATTTAAAATAGAAAACCTTTCTATGCACTTAGATGTATTTACATGCTCCTTAAATTGCTTTGATACAGTAGGATGACAGTTGTCTGTTTGTGCCATGGAAAGTCCATGTCAAACTAGAGAAGTGAGGACTTACATGGTTATTTCAACTCAAATTATGGTTTAGGCTTGCATTTATAAATAATAAGCTCCTTAGAAGAAATGTTGCATGTTCTGCTTAGAAGTCTAAATGTTGAAATGATGGCAGTACACATATCTGTTCACATTTTTGGTACTAATACTGAATATTTTATTTCCTCAGTGCATTGGTTATTGCTGCAGTATTTGATCGTGATGTCAATTGCAGAAGAGCAGCTTCTGTAAGTTGTATTCTAACTTAAATGTTTCTGGGGTTTTTTTGTTTTATTTGTTTTAATTTAATTTAATAATTTGTAGACTTAGCTATGTGTCAGCAATATATTGTGTTGTGAGCAAAAAAAGAGCTTTTTAAAATCCTCAGTAGTATGGTGTGAATTTAGAATTTAAATTATCTGATCTGGAGATCCACATCTTGATTTATGGCCACGCTTCACAATCTGCCCTATTGTGTTCATCGTGGTTAAGGTAAAGTATCTAAGAAAGAGCTATTTAGCATTTTCTAGTCACAGTATCAAAGACGAAAGGGTCATAGGTAACATACAAACACTGTATCTTTTTCAAGTCACCAAGTTGGTAAGTTTTGTGCAGTTACACTTTTCTAATTTTTCATCAACCGTTACTCAATAATTGTGGTAAGTTGAGTGTGGTATGAGTTGTCTGTTTCAACAGATAAAGCAAGTTATCTTATATAAATGTAAAAAACCCCACCGTATAACTGTATTAACTCAGACACAGGTCCAGATAATATCTATCAAAGAACCAGGTGTCTCTGTTCTGAAGAATAAATGTCACTGTCAATGCCTTAAAAAAAAACCCAACAAAAAAAACCAAAAAAACAAAACAAAACCAAACAGTCTTTTCAACAGGTAAATTAATTAACAGATTTGTCTTATTTTTGACTGAAATTTTGAAAGCTAATACATTTATAACGTAAGAAGGATTTCTTGGGGATACCTGGATAGCATCCTTATTTTTCCTAGCCACACCTCTGCTTGAGAGTTTAAGCTGTTGAATGAAGCTGCAGCATAATTGCTGGGGAAGTGACTCAGTTGCTTGTGTAATCACATCACAAATCACTTTGTCTAAATAGGTTAAAACCAAAGCATGGAAGCTAAGATGCTGTAAATTGCTGATGAGTACTGATAATACATATTCTTCTCATACTGTACAACTAGTAATATGAGCAATGCTACTTCCCCCCATATTTCATCTCGTAAAGGTAACTTTGCTTTCCTGAGCACTGCACAAAACATTAAGGAATGTAAGCAGTGAAAAGTGAATTATTTATTTGCTCTATAGGAATTGTTCTAGGAATTTGTGGTAATATATATAAAGAAGATAATTCTTTTTAACGTGATTGCCACTACAGATGTACTGCTTACCTTTAGTGGCTTGATCTAATTGTCATGTGTAATCTTCATTATGTTTCTACACTTAAACAGAAACTGTTAGTTTGACCATGAAATATGGTGCTAAACCAGATACATTTACTAATACTGTGAGTTTACTGTGCTTCCGTAGGTCAAATGAGCACAAAAATACTGTACATTTTCTTCTCACTTCCCTCTTCTACTTTAAACTAAGCTATCTAGCATTCTGCAATTCAATTATCTTCAGTTAAATTAATTTTTTCATTAGTACATTCTATTTTAGAGCTGGTCAAAATTTGGAATTGCTGTTTTGATGGATAGTTATGAAAATATTAAAACCTTTTTTCTTATTTTTAAAAAGGCAGGCAAAGAAATATTTTGTGTTTACCAGGCATTGCTACAATTTTGAGGAAAAATACCTGGGAGTCCTAATTATTTCCAATCATTACTACAGTTAAATACATATTTAAATAAACACCATGTTTTACTAGATTTTCCATCTGTTACAATATGTAACATATTATAATGCAGAGCACCAATAAAACAAAATAGCAAGTATATTGAACCCTGAGGTTAGAGAGAATAAAACAAGACCGTTCTTTAGAAGCTCCAAGAGCATTTTGAGCTGACTTGTGCAACTCTTTAGTGAATAATTATTATAAGGAATGATCACACGAGTAAGTGATCTTGGATTAGGCTCATTCAGCTCTGATGTGTTAAAGAGAGTGGGTTTTTTCCTTTTGGTTGCTTGATAGTTTTTAAAATTTTGACTTAGAGAATGTTTTAATATTTTTTCAGTTTTTGTGGGAACAGCAAAGTATTCAAGTTACAAGGCTGCTTGGTCATCTTGGTTCTGATACGATGGAATCTTTAAATTAAGATCTTTGCGTCCAATTTTTCCATCTACAGAAGGGGAATATATGAAAAATTATTATTAAAAACCAGTTGAAATATTTGGCATCTTTTAGGAATTTGCAGTTGTTTGAAAGTATGATTGGAATAGTAACATCTTCAGTTATTGAAAATCTCCTAAGTATTATGAGGAAAAGTCTTTTGTGAAACAATAAAGTGCTAAAGGAACAAGGAGGGAATTCTGTCAACATTAAATGAGCTGTAGAAAATTACCTTTTCACTTGAATGAACAATATGTTTCATTATTTTCATATTTCTATTTTACTTTCACAAAGCTTTAACAGAATAATATTGTGGAGATAGTTTTCCTTGTAACCTTTTCTGTGCAATGTACTCTTTTACTTACCTAAATATCACGTTTTTGTTGCTAAAATTGAGATTAGATGCTGTTCTTCTAGAACAATAATGTGTTTAAGTTGCGCTGCTGGAATGTGCATTGTCTACAAAGCAGCCTTAAATCACTGGTGAATTTTCCAGATATAACTGAACACTCTAGCATTCTGTTACATTCCTTTCAGGGCTAGTTACCATATTTCTTTTCATACTTGTATGAATTGTAAATTCATCACACAAGTGTAAGAATCTATAAAGAACTGATTATTTTTCTCCAAGGCTATTAAACTGAAATAATTGACAAATATATTTATACTAAGGCAATACTAATATCTATCCTTGTAAGCAGTGGTTAAAGTTTTATGGGTTTTTTTTATAGATAAACTAATCAATTAGGTGTAAATTAACATGTAAATTAGACGCTTATAATACATTAGATGAATGCTGAGTATTTTTGCCATTCTCCTGGACTATTTCATAGATCTTCATGATTGTTTTTCTAAGTAAGTTAGAAACTGAAATACAGCAGTGGAATTTTAAAATTCCTACATTAAGTAAACACACCGTGTGAAAGCTTTATGCACAATAGCTGTTCTGCTCGCAACATTGCCTATAGACCCCTCTACATCTTTTCCCAATGATTTTGCCACAGCTTGTTTCAGTCCTGGGCCTACAGATCCATTGTAAGTAGAATAAAACTTTCACTGGTTTGAGACCAGGTTTATGTTGTTTTGGATATCAAAGTTTCTGATTTAAAAAGAAAACAAAATAAAAACTTCCCAGATTTTTTTATCAGTAAGGTACTTGTCTGAGCCATGTACGTTTTTAAAATATATTATAGTGTAGTGATTGAACTGTTAAATCTCTTGGATATGATAGTTGAGAACATCATCCTTGCTGAAACCTCCCTACGCTGAATAAAAAAAGGATCTCAATAGCCTAAAAGGTGATCTAAAACGAAAGTGTGTGTAAAAATAAATAAATGATGCAGGGTGACATGAAACAATGTCCAGGCAAATCCTGGCTGGGGACATATGTTGGTAGAGAGGTAAGGAGTGAAAATAAAACCAAACCCAACCCCATGTCAGAATCTGGGCTGCACCGTACAATAAAGACCATGTGCAGGGCATTGCTGCAGCTCCTGTTCCTGCTCTGGAAGGCTGCTTTATGTGTTGCCCAAGGGTGTATCTGCACCGAGGAGGGTAGCCCATGCAGTTCTGCCTGAGGCAGTCCTAAACTGGTTAGCTCAGGGGCACTGCTGGCAGCGTGGCTGCAGCTGTGAGGGGGCTGAGGTGGGCTCCAAAACCCACCAGGGTGGTGGGTGAGTGGTTTCGAGTCAGCCTGTGCTACGTGTCCTGCAGTGGATACGCTGCCCTCAGGAGCTGAACTAGCCCGGGCAAGTCTTCAGGAGCTGCAGTCGTTATCCTAAGCAGACATAACCTCAGAAATGCACGAAGAGACTCTTGGCTTCATTAGGGCTTTGCTTTGCCTGTCTTCTGTGAGTGCTTGCTCCGCATGTTGAGTGTGATACCTTGGTGAGCTAACTTAACCTGTTGTTTTTACAGGGCAATTACCACATGCAGACTGTATTTATGTAGGAAATACAGAAGCTCTGTATGTCAAGATTTTTGTGACATTTTCAGTAAAGATCAGGACTTGCCCCCTGTATGTAAAATATCGATTGTCCGGTGACAAGTGCTGTCCGTTGCTGGAGATCCATGTTTGTAGGTAGAGTGACATTGCTGAAGAGAAGTGCCCAGATAATGATGATCTCTCCTCTCTGAAAGAAGTTAAAATTTACAGGAGTTTTTATTAGTACTTATGATTGTGAGTCATTTTAAGGAGAAAAAATAATCAGCTTTTTTCAGAGAGGGAGAAAATTCAAGTAAGAAGTAGGGAGTTAAGTAGATTTTATTCTGTATATACTGTACTTAGAGAGATTAACTTTATGGTTGTATTCATTGCATTTTGCAAGATTTTGAGTTTATTTAGTGTAAAACACAAGAAACACATGAATTTTGTCTTCAGGTTTTATAACGTCAGGGTTTCAGTGTGCTTTCAGATGTATGTCTTTCAAATAAATATTGCACTCGCAAGATTTTTTTATCTGGAGTTTTAATTGACAAAGAATCAAACTTTGCCGACTATTAGCAAATTATGTTGAAGTGGTCAGACGAAAGTGAGCTGTCTCAATTTCTGTTGTCTACAGGTACTGACTTTCAATTCCAGTGTGAAGCCTTGTGTCACTACTCAAAAGCACTCTTGTGGGTGTGACTAGTTTAATAATAAACTCGCATTCTTAAACTGCTGTCATGCAACATACAGCTTTAAGAGCACCAGAACACAGAGACGCAGAAACAAAAAAGCCCTGTGGGCTTGTTCTACTGACAAAGCTTACTTTATTTAAAAAAGAAAAGCCATGGGTCATTTATATTGTTGTGTGTTTTGAATTCATCATCTGGTGTTTATCAGAAAGCAAACCTGACTTGTTTTGGTATGTTTGTTCTCTGTTCCTTAGGCTGCCTTCCAGGAGAATGTTGGGAGACAGGTATGGTAACTTTCCTGAATCTTCATTCATTAGTGCCTTGGAGGTTACTGTAAATGTGTTGTACCTAAAATCAAAATTAGATGCTGTGGCTTCGGAGAAATTGAGTAAAAGGATGCCACAAAATAATAATTTTCATTATCAGCAAATAGGTTCTTGTAGAATACTTTTGAGATGTGAGTTATATTCTAGTATTCTAGTTTTGGAAGAAAATGAGCTTTCTGGTAATTTTCAGTCATTCTGAAAAGCAAAATTAGCATGTATGACAGCCATTATACACCCTGCAAAGGGCAGTGCTCTTGAAGCAAGAAAAGGGCAAATTTTTTGGTCATTTTTTTTTTTGTTTCATTGACCTTCTTGTTTTTAATGAAAGTAGAACAGCTGAAGTGTACTGCACAATCTTTGCTGTGGTTGGTGATACAAAAACGAACTAGGCTTAAGAGTCTCAACTCAATATTTGGCTTTTGCCTGTTGTACCATAATGCTACCATCTAGCTATTTTGAGAAATCTGTTACTTTTGGAGGTACCTCAGTGCTTTGAAAAAAAAGTACTATGATAGGTTCCTGTGTAACTTAGCAACATTTAAGTAGTTAAAATACTCAAACAACTTTGATTTACAGCCTTGCAGAAGAAGCAAATAGGGTAAAGACTCGGATTTCAGAGTTTCCTGTTTTCTCATAAGGAATTAATAAAGCTGAATATACAACTTAAGAGGGGAAAAAAAAGAAGGGGGCAAGTGGTTCAGTTAGTGAATTCTTGTGACAGAGCAGGGCATGTGAGCATGGTTAAAACAAATTTTGTTATCAATAAGCCATTATTTAAGGGATCTTTGTTAAAATACTGTCTAACTTTCCCTGATAAAATTCTTGAACATCTCTGTGTTACGAGCTGGGATATTATTCCTTTAGAGCTATGGGTATTAAGCAGTGTGTCTGGAACTCATCTGTGTATTTCTAGATAGGATGAGGTTAATAGCAGAGAAATGGTGCAAGATGACTAGGAGGAAGAGGGTAAATATTTTTGGTGGCCTGACCCAACTAGGCCTGTGATAAGTAGAAGCCAGCATGATTCTTCCCTGGGTCTGTAGTTACTGCCCTGGAGGTTTTAGTCATCACGCAGCAACTCAGCCTGATTCCACTTCATGAGGTACTGAATGAAGTAAACACCTTATTGTGACTCCAGTTTCAGGTGAGATATGGCTCCTGGGTGCTGCAGGTTTCAAAAAGCTTCCATGTAGCAAAAGTTCTGTTGAGTTTTTTATTTCTTAGAGGAGTACACTCCAAGTTAGTTTACAACCAGAAAATTTGCTTATTGATTCTATTTTGACTCATGATTCAAATGTGTCAGTGTTGGTAGAGCACACAACAATTTTAGGTTATATGTTAGCATGTTAAGGAAGAGTTTGCAGTAAAATAGTAAGTTTTTGTGGCATGAAGAATGATATCAGTCTCCGGTTGGTTCCTGTAGAAATTCAGGCGTTTTATTTACTGCCTAGGAAAACGATTACTTAATCAGTGGATACACCCTCTATAGTTCTTTACCTGGATGTAGTATGTTGAAAGAGCCACCCTTTCTCTGAATTGGAAGGAGCTAAAACACATTCTCCATCTGAAGTAGCAATGCTGATACAAAATAGGTGGAGAAAAAAGTTGACCTCGCTCACTTCCTGGTTCCTGCCTGCTTCACCTTTGCAATTCAGCATGTCCTGAACCCAAGAGCTTGCTTTTAGGGCATCAGAAAAAGACGCCATTGTAACTTACACACTTCATGTAAATTAAAACTTTGAAAATTTTGAAGATTTTTTTTTTTTTTAAGCATATATCATGAGAAATACACATGCTTCTAGTAAGACAAACTTTTGGAGAAGTAAGTTTTAAGTGTTCTGACAGAATAGAAACTGTTAGCTTTTCATCTGAAGTCAGTCTCTCCAAAGCGCCCTGACCTCTGTACTCATGAACTTGATGTCAGGAGTTTTCCTGTCACTGATATGCACTGTGGTACCATGACCTTCAGTGAGATGCCATCAAATTAGCACACTTACAGCCAAGTAATAAATAGCAAGCTCCAAATAGGAGCTAGAATTGAAATTGTTTAGCTGTAATTTTCTTTATCTACAGTGTATATTCTTATATATTTAATTGTATGTCATCTTGTTTGGCTATAAATCATTCTGAGGTATTTCTCATGTGTGCATTTTTCTCCCTAATCAGTGTTTCATTAGGCTTTTGAAGAGTACATTCATTTCATCGTTATTAGGACTTGCAGGTAGTCTCTTGGATAAACAATAAATATTCTGTCTATCCTTCTTGATTCAGATTCCAGGCCTTGGTTTTTTGGACCGTTGGCATTATGCTTCCCAGAATAAGATCACAGTAGCTGACAAACTTCCCACTTCTTCAATTATTCAGGCTTAGATCTAGAGATATTTTCTACTATTTTTGCGTGACTGTATCCTAGTGTGGAAGGGATAAGTGAGCTGTAAACAAACAAAGCTGTATCATATCCAGACCCTTTACTTCCACATAGCCTTATTGCTTAAATATCATATGATTGTCCCTTTTGTAAGTTCAGTTGGCTGTTTTCCATTTGTACTTAATTACAGCGTGTGGAGGCTATGCTGCCTCCTCAATTCCAAAACACAGCTGTGCTCTGTAATACTGTATTAAATCAGTCAGAGCCAATCAGAATTCTGAAATCTGCTTAAATAAAAAGGCAAATTTTTAGGTGGCAATTGCATATTTAGAAAGATGTTTTCTCTTCTAAAACAGAAATTTTTGAACAGTGTGATACTTCTGTAGGATTTAATGTTTCAGGCTTTGCTGGGAACCAGTGTTCTTTTTAAAACAAATAAACTAACCTCAAGTTTTTAGTTCATTAATAAATAAGACATAAAATATATGTGTAAGTAGAAACAAATAGAAGTAACTGAACTCCCATGTATTCTACATTTGATTAATTTCTTGGAACCTAAACCTCCTAATTTCACACTTCATAAAACTTGCAGTAGATACTTGTTCCTTCACATGAACTGAAAACACGTTTACATTTATCTAAACCTTCTTTTAGAGAAATCATTTTTTGTGTACATAAATAGTCATACATTCACCACATATATATTTGGATATTACTTGAAGGTATTAATATGCTATTACGTAGTTTCTTACCTGCTGCTGTTTACTTTGTTTCTTATTGACTCACAAGTGAAGCCAGTTATTTTGCTGTTTATATGTCTGATATCCTTTATAACTTTAATAGAAGTTATTTTCCTGTAAATTAGAAATTAAATTGTGTTTTTATCAGTGCTTGGACAGTAGTAGGAGATTTGTTTTCAATAATGTTGCCTATTTGGAAAGCATTTTACATTTTAAAATTAATATTTTCTTATTTTTTCCCCATCTTCTCTATGATGTTTATAGGGTACCTTTCCACATGGCATAGACATTCTAACTGCAGCTGATTACTTTGCTGTTGGTAACAGAGTTAACTGTTACCTCACTATAAGGTAAGTTTCTGAGCATTAGTTTTCCTAAACATGAAGGACCTCTTTTACATAATTAATTATTTGTCTGATTGTTTCACCTTACTGAACATTATGTTTATTACTATTGTTTTTGAAGAAATTAAAATTTGTTTTGTTCATATTTCTGCATCAAACTGCTTATTATATGTAAGACATGGTGAAAATGTGACTGTAATTTCCTTGTCTACATGGAGGAAGCAGCCAAGAGGCAATATTTGCAGGTGTCACAAAGATGGTCAAGATTAGAGAAGACCTGGGGATTTTGAAGAGTTGTAGTTTAAGGAGAGGCTATTATGATGGCAGATAGACTCTGATGTGGGTAAAAAAAATAAACTAACTTAAAAAAATACTTTGCACAAATTGTTGAATTTGTGGTCTGTGCATAGACCTTTAACTTGAGCTTATATTTTTCATAGATATCTCAGTGAAAATATAACCACAGTATGGAGTAGTGTTGGAAAAACCAAACTGATCACTGCAGAATGGAGTCTGCAGAGAATGTAATGGGAAAATACCGAAACTGGTGTGGTCCTGTTGTAAATCAGTGGCTTGTCTTGGACTATTGTGTTCCCTTCTGCTCTGGTCAGCTATCTGACAACACAATAAAGCTGAAGTCAGGGGAATTCAGAGGCAAGCTGGGTGCATGGGATGACTAAAATGAACATAAGATTGCACTTCCTCATGAGAAGATGAAAAAGACTGAGGGCTGGGTTCTGGCTTTAGTTGTTTAAGACAGGCAGTCTAGCCTGGGTGTCTAGTCTTTCCATAGCCAGTGCAAAGAGACAGGCACCTACAGAAGGAGATTCAGACCATTTTAAGATAGGTTAGATAAATTGCCCTATGGAGTTACACATTGCTCAGAAGCTGAAAGCTTAGAAAGGCTTGAAGAGATTATATTCTTGGGGGACAGAAAAGGCAAGCAGGTGTATGACAGTTTATGCTCAGTTGCCAGCTTTGTGACTTCCAATGAGCAGTTTTTAAAAATAGTTTGCACTGGAACCCTCTATCTGCTTCCTCAGCTATTTTTTAATTATTAATCTGTCCACCTCCATATTGTCCCTTTTCTGCATAATCATTTCAGTCTGTACATATCTTCCCCTTTTACCTACTGTCCTTCCTCCTGAGGTCCACACCCTCCTCCTACACTCTTCCCCAGAGCTGCTGCCTCATGAGCTGAGATGGGGAAATGCTGTGGCTTGGTATTTGCTGCTGCTTTAAATCCATAAAGTGTCAATGTGATTATTGAAACTCTGGCTTTTTGTACTAGTAGAAAATATTCAAAATTGACAAATAAGTTTTTAGTTTATCTCTTCTATAGTTTTGACTTGGAGACTAACTATATTCTCCTTATATTTTGAGAGCTGAATTGTTACTTCATTATTTTTTTCAAATGCTCTTTTATTTTGCCTTTCATGGTGATTTCCAGGGTTTTTGTAGAAGCTATTAACTGAAAATATTTTTACTGTTGATGTCTGTCTTCCACTCTTGTGCCTTTCTTTAAATTGTGCAACAGAAAGAGTAAATTTGTAAATTCTTTATAACTGTATGCAGTTAGTTGTATGATTCCTTGAAACCGTGTTCAGTGTTATTAATCAAACTCTTCTTTGTAAAGTATTTGTCATCTTATTCATTATATTACTTTTAAAAATCTTCACCACTTTGCTCTTCAAGCAGAATGTAATTATTTGGGTCAGTACTTAATTATTTCCTTATTTTTGTCTGAGTGACATCAAAGGAAGAGTACATAAGCATACATTTGGCTGCATAAAAAACATGTATTAATATGATGTGGTAGGAAGAATGGACCTTTTTGATTGGTATGCCTCAAGATGGTGTAATTGTTTATATAGCTGGAAAAAGTTGCTTGAGGTTCATATTCCAGATCTAGAATCTTTAGCTGTCCTTCCCCCACCCAGGTAAAACAATCCTGGGACACTTAGTATGCCAACATAATGCCGCTATGTGAAAGGAAGCTGTGTAGGTGTGAAGGTCTGTACTACTAGATTCCTTTGAGCAATAAAAGCTTGAAAAATATGTGTCAATTTCTACTGCTGAATTTGGTTTTGGTTAATAAATGATGACATGTTTTTGTAGAGAGGCAGCATCATATATAGGTATATATGTGTGTGTGTAAACAGTTGCTTAGATACTTTCAAATCTAAATATTTGAACGCAGTTCTTTCACATTTGGTGCCTTTTTGAAACTTTTTGCTGGATGTTCTTTGAATGATTCAGCTCAGATATCATAATCTATTTCTGAGGATGGAAGGCAGAGGAAAGCCATTTTGTATGAACTGTGAGTAAAGAGATGATGTGATTCCAGGAGTAAAAGCAGAGTTAAGGAGAAAACTTCTTAATCTAAGTAGAGAGGGATCAAAAAATCTTAGCAGCAACATTATCAGGAAGGCTAGACTTGTATCCAAATCTGCTTGCATTAAATACTCAGGAAGGGTACAAAAGATGAAGACTGCAGTTAAATATAGTTATAAACTAAAACTGAAAGTGAGATTGAGCTACAGACAAGGCCCAAGAGATCAGCTTTGATGAGCTGGACAAGGCAGTCCAGATTAAAATGGTTGGAAAGAATGGTGAGTGCTAAAACTAGGATCCAAAAAGCAACTACGAAGAAGAGAAGTCAAACATGACAGGAGAAGGGTGTCTGCTCTTCCAGAACTGGGAAAGGAACCAGAGAGTTCCATTTTGACACAAACACATTCTACTGATTGTTGAACTTTCCAATGTTATTTGACATACATCAAGTGTACCGAAAGACATTTCACTTTCAATAGTTGATGCTTCTGAAGATTGGAAAGCAAGTGTGGCTGTAAAGTTAAGCAATTACACAGGCTGCTTAGGTAATTAATTCTGGTATTCCCTTACACCTTAGGTCTTGACTTTGCAGCCTTAACATTTTTTGTAAGAATTTACTTTTTGTATATGTTTGATTTTTAAAAAGGACAAATTGAAAACCCATATTCAATTTTGGGCCATTGTATTTATGAAGACGTCGCACATTTCTGTAACTTAATTTTACTGTGTATTGTGGATTACAACTTTAATACATTTCTCCAACCTGAAATAATTATGTAAGATAATATACACACCTAAATTTTCTTGAATGTAACAATGGGAATTTAATGTTTATTTTTGCTTTTCGTTCCTGTCAAGCTTCTTTTATGTATAGTAGTTTTTATAGATGATCTGAAAGAGTTATACAAAAGTGATTTAATTTTTTTTTCAATAATTTAAAAATATTTCCTATTGTATTATTTCATTCAGCTGCATGTCATTTAGGAGAAAGCATGTTTAACTAATTTTTGTGTTGCTTTAAACCTAGAGTATTTATGTCCTTGGAGTAGCTTGTGTTAAAATGCATGCAGATGTTAATTCTCTGCTCTGCATGGACATTTATTTTTCAGTGTATATGTTGCTGGCTTTCCTGAGTATACACAGCCAATGATTGATCATTTAGTTAACATGAAGATTAACCACTGGGATAGGTAAGTTCACAAAGTCTAATTATTAATATCCAGGAATTGAGTGTTCTGCATATCATGCTTTCCTAGATTATTTTTGTAAATTTTACTTATACTAGAATTTGCAAGAGCATTTGACTGAATAAAACTGGACAAGTTGTAGCTGATGTCATCTATACCTTCCTAGCATATTGTCACTTAAAACATGTTTATGAATTTTGTATTTTTGCCATGACCTCAATCTGTTAATAGATTAATAAAAGACATTTATATGGTGTATAGTGTATGTGAGGGGTAAACACCATCACCAATTATCATAATTAAAGTAGATTTCATGCACCATCTCATTTCATAGAGATGGTGCTTAGTCATATTCAATGTTCATGAAGATTAAAATGTGTGCATAGAACACAAATGAGATTATATCAGTGCTGATACTAGTTTGCATCATGAGAAATAATAATAGTTTACTGTAGCGTCCCTGCCAATGCATAGAATGAGCCCTCAGGTTCTACTGTCCACACTTGGGTTTTTCTTTGTCTCTTTCAGCAATATGTTCTATTCATGTAGCTAAAAGCTAGCTGTAGGCTGTCTGCTGGGTCCGCCGTTTTGTTTTGTTGGCCTTTTTTGAGGGGCAGAAGCATAAGATAGACAGAGAATAATTTTTGATATTGCTGGGATCTGTATTTTGGTCAGGGACAGAATTTTTCCTGACATTTTTTTAATGCATTACTTATGCTAAATTGCTCACCCCCCAGAAATAAAAAAATGTGTTTTTTTACGTTTTCAGTGTTATTCGAGAACTTTCAACCAAAGCTCTGCATAACCTTACTCCACGGGCTCCTGAATACATGGCAAACGTGGGTAGGTAACAAATTAAGTGCCGTATAAGTGTTGTAGCTTATGTAGCAAAAACATATTAAGAAGACTTAAACATGCACCATGACTTAATGAAAATTAAGATTTCCCCTGCAACTTAGTACAGTGTAGTGACACTAATAGCGTTACCAGTTTTCAGATTTTATGCAAACGTTATAAAATACTGCCAGATCTTTTTCTCTCTGAGAACTGGACTTTAGTTATCTGGCTACACTGGACCCTACCAGTTCCAAGATGAATAAATGGGTGTAGTTCTGTTGTAACAATCCAGGCAGCCACCCCTCAGATTCCTAGCTTTTGTCTTGTTGATCTAGCTTTGACGTTGTAAAGGGTGGGGGGATCTGTTTTGTCTTGTCCAGTCTGACATCTTCAGAAGAATTCCTTTTTGCCCATTGTGTGTGTAATCAAATGTTTCTTAGCATGAGCTGAGGATCCTTTGCTCGGCCACTCAAGATTCTGAGGATGTACTTAGCTGCTTTTTAATATGGCTGAAAGACAGCAGCTGACACCTGGCTGAATCTGCAGCTCGAGATCTTACCTAGGCTCCCTGGAGTGCTCTAGGAAAGTGGCAGTGTACATGGAAGTACAATTCCATGGAAGTACAATTCCATGGAAGTACCAGCATAATTTCCTTTACTGCTCAGCCACCCCAATGCCTAATAGCAAGTATGTTATTTACTCCAAACAGGGAGCTAGCTGTGAGTACATTTCTTCATATGGTTTGGTATGTTTTGTCAGAATTTACTTGTAGTTTTAAAACTTGGTTTTCACATAATGACCAGGATATATTGACCTTTCCAGAAATTATTTTCCTATGTTATCTCTAGGCAGACATGTTTACATTTAGAACTGTGATCTGTCACCATGCTTTGTTTAAAAAATAAATATTAATCTCTTTCAGTTTTGCCAAGACTTCTGCCTTTATCAGTGGGCACTGATCTGCACACACGCCATGGGGCAATTCTTGCCTGTGCTGAGATCACCCATGCACTGTGTAAACTAGCAGAAGAGAATAATAGGTATAAATGCAAGATTATCTTGACTATAAACTTTCCTTTCATGTCTGATCTATTGAGAGCTTCCCGAGTATAATTATGGAAATCTCCATCTTGCTGAACTTCTTTTCCGTTTAATTTTTGTTTGTTTTGATCAACCATGACAAGCCTTCAGATTTTATTCAGTGATGTTATAAACTTAAGTCTAAATTTATCATCAGGAAAGTGAGATCATTTGCTGCCTTACTTGGAGAGTTCAAAGTTAGCATTTAAATATAGCTTAAAACCCCTTTCCCTGTAAGTATGCTGCTGTCCTGATGAGAGGACAGTCTTTTGTCTTCAGTGTTAGAAAAATTGCTCCTCAAGTAGTAACTTGTTAAGTTGAACTGATGTTGCTTCTGAATGCTGGCCTATATATATATATATATAGGTGTATGTGTGCATATACACACATATTATATATAGGTGATGTAGCCAGAAATATAGACAAAGTTGTTTAGTGATATCTTTGCTTTGATGTTGTGATTAAAGCAATGAGCCATTTACCTTTTCTTTCTTTCACAAGAATCACATGTGAAAAGCAGCTGAAAATCCTTATTGCAAAAACTAGAATCTGGCAGTTACGTTAGAAGTACAATTTTATACTAGCATGACTTAAATTATGGACAGTCACTGTTTAAGATCAAGGCAGTGCAAAATAAGACTCCAGATTGCAAACTTCACTGGAAATAAATACAGTTCTGCAGAAGTCATAGAAATACACTATACACTGAAGAAATAAATTTTTAAAAAACAGAGACGTTCTGGATCATTTTTGTTCTAAAAATTGAATAGTTACTTTCTGATGAACCTTTTTTCTTTTACTTCTGAGAACCGTCTGATGTAGTCATCCAAAGTTATCTAAAGTGGTGACATCTAACAAATTTGATGCTGTAATTGTTTGTATAAGCTAAATATACTGAGGTGAATTCAAATAATAGATATCAAAAGTGTGTACTGATTTTTATAACTTTAATTATTGACAAGTAGGAATTATATTTGCCAACAGTATCTATCAAAAGAATTTGTGTTTATCTTAAGAGTTCCCTTTTCAAGTAAGCTGAAAAGTTAGAGAAAGAGATGCAGAACATTTTTAGTAGCAGGAAATACTTGACATTGATGGAAAAATCACAAAAGTGTTAGAGTTCAGAAATACAACTGAGCTGAGAAGGGTTATTGGTGTATTACTGATTATAATGATTTTAGTAAGTGACACTAATTTTTTTATAGTCCTTTAAGAATGAGTTTGCTACATGACAAGGAAAGAACTGATGTTATTGTGTTTGCTGAACTATTTAAAATTAAATACTGCATATTTCTGTTGAACATAATTTAGAAATCAAATGATTGTTTTTCTGTTTAAAAGTGCAATGAAGTCATAGAAGAAAAATTATATATAGCATGGCTAGGAAACAAGTCTTAAAATATATATATGTATATATTTTTTTTTCTTTTACAGGTCTATAACACACTATTTCAGTGAAAAAGTGTTGGAGGGACTTAAGCAAATCCATCAAGAGGTTTGTAGCAAGTACAAATGTATCTTTTAACCTGGTATGTTGTATTATTTTTAAACTAACAGTTACGTATACCTTTACAGGTCTATAACACACTATTTCAGTGAAAAAGTGTTGGAGGGACTTAAGCAAATCCATCAAGAGGTTTGTAGCAAGTACAAATGTATCTTTTAACCTGGTATGTTGTATTATTTTTAAACGAACAGTTACAATTAAGACAGCTGTTCTCCACCTTCCTCTTCCCCTTGCCAGAAGTAAACAGCCTCACAAATACGGATTTGGACATGCGCTCTGGACTGTCTGATAGCTAGATGTCTTTGATTGTGTGTCTTACTGCCAAATCGTTTTGTATTTGGTCCTCTACTTTCTCTGATGCTGTCAGTTACACTTGGGAAATACTGCCTGGGGTTTTGTTTGGTTTTCTTTCCCATTCTGTTTCTTCTCCCTTTCTGTACATACTTACTGGCCTTGCAGGTAGGTGTGTGGCTGTTGCCTTAATGTGACCATGCTCAAGATAGATCTCCGAGTCCATTCTCTGTCCTTTCTCTTCTTTTTTTTGCTAAACCCTTGCATCCATAATTTACCTGGATATAGACCTTGAAAGTCATATTCTGTAACTCAACTGATGCATTGTCTGTATCTTTACTTATGACAAATGAAGTCTTGTCCTGCTCATGGCAATTTAAAATGATTCTATGGAGATAATTTTCCCTAACTTGTCCCTCTAATTTTAAGTCATCCCATGTTGTTGTTTTTTTTTTCTTTTGGTTCTTATTTCTTATGGAACAGACAATACTTCAGTGTTCAGGCTCCTGCTCATTTTCTGCAGTATCTGTAGTACATTAACTCCCAGTTCTGATGTGCTAAAGGTGTCAGGCTTCACCATTTACCCATTATGCTTTAAGGTACATAGGCACTTGCTTAATTCTGTGCATAGTTGAAAGCTGCTGCTACAGGCTGAAAAAGCATCTTTGTCCTTATTTAACTTTGTCATGTTGAAATGCCTGAAAGCTTGAACAGCAGTATCTGTACTGTTACAATGGCCGTAATTTTTCATGATATTTTCCAATTTCTGCTGTTGTCTGTACTTAATTAATCTGCAAAGTTGCTGTAAACTTGTTCTTCTTAAAAAATCTTTTTTTGGGAAGTTTTTACTACAGAGAAATTTGATAATCTCTCATTTTTGAAGATGGCCTACTGTTATGTTAACAATGAGATAGTATTTTTTCGGTCACATCTGAAATTTTGTTATAGTTTTTTCTGTTTAATCAGTAGCTAACAAAGTTATTTTCAGTTTTCAGACAGTGCAGTATATTAAAATCTTAAAAGGGCCAACTGCGGAAAGCAAATGTATTTTAAAAGCCAAGCTAGCTTCCAGGGTGTGTGCAGGAGCAGCTAGGATTTGGAATTAAGAAAATTAGTGCTTTATGAATGTGTTATTTCGAATGTGTCAAATGAATATAGAAATATTTTTTAAAAAATATTTTTCCTTTGAATTTTATTTTTAAAATAAACCAAAGTGTTGCATAGCTCACAATATATAGACATTGCATGCAAAGAGGAAAAATTCAAACACTTGTATCAAACAAACTCTGCTAATGTTTGTTGCTTTTCCTCCATCCCCCAGCTTTGCAGTCGTCAATTGTACAGGTAAGAAAATGGATGCAAAAAAATTTATTTATTGTATTGGAAAGTATCAATTTGAAGTAATGAAAACAGTAGGATCCTCGGGGGCTTTCTGATTTGTGCTGGTTACACCTACCACAGCCTGCCAGTCTCTCACAGTTCATCAGAATGCAAGCACATGCATTCTTTTGGCTTTGACCACCTATTAGAGAGGCTGATCTGGTTTTATGATGGTTGTGGTGTTTAGAGAGTACGACTCACAGGCATGTTAGATTAATGGGAAAGTGGTAAGTACTGGTCTCAATATTGTGATAGAGACAGTTAAAGAAAGGAAAGAATGTGAATCACAATATGCTCATTAATCCATGGCTTCAGCAGTGTGTCATGGATTTCTTTCCCATTATTCACCTGTACTGGAGTACTTACATGGTTCAATTAGGTCTGTAGACATGACCTTTAACTAAAAAGTTAATGAGTAAAAAAAATATTTATTTTTTAAAGGAGTTTATATCTAAATTCTGGAGTTACTTTCCTCATCCCATGTAATGAGTAGGCCAAGAGTATTACAAAAGGTTCAATGCAATTTTTCAACTCTTGTGCCAAAGAAAATGTAAGTTCTCACTGAGTTGTTTTTAATTTTCTATTTATTGAAGCTTCCAGGAAATAAAGGGAGTTTGCCTAAGTAACTATTAAGTAAATATGAATTAAAACTGGTATGTTACTTCCAAGTTTGTTCCTAAAGTTAAGGAAATTAAAACATAATTAATGACTTGTATTCTCTAACGATTGTATATGTGAATGAGGGTTTTTCTGCTTTAACTGACAAAAGTTTTTGAGCTTTTGAGCAGTTGAGTTCACTTCTTTGCACATGACATATCTGAAAACAGTAAACTTCAATAGTTTTTTTTTGTGTAATTATTAATTATAAGGTAAAGACTTTTTACGTAAGTTTTTGTATCCTGAAACTTCCTGAAAAAATGTTAAAATTTACTTCTTGAGGGTTGTACATACCGATGTGAAATTTCCACTCCAAAGTTAGCTTGTACTGGCGGATGGTTTTAATGCTGATACTGTATATTGGTGTCTTTGTGGGTGGCTGTCTTGGCTCCCATAAATTCTTTAATGTCAGGGTGGAGCTTGGGTGTAATTTGTTTTTGTCATAATGTGCACTTCTTGCACTTAATGGTATTTATAAGATGCCTACAGAAATGTTTTCATTGTAGATAAGACTTCTAATTCAACTCCAAGCAAAATTGATTCACTGCTGTTTAATACTTAGGCTGAGACATAGATGCCTACTGTAATCCATATTTTAAAATAGCGGTATGCATAAAACATTTTTAAATAGGACAAGAAAAATAAACTAGGTTATAAATACAAACCAGCAATTTAAGTATTGCCGGGCAAGCATTTAGTGAAACAAGCCAAACTTGTTTCGTGATGAGTAATTATTGCACATAATATTCCAAAGATTTCCATTTGAGAAATTGCTACCAGGAATTTTTGGTGTAACAACATCTTGTAGGAATATCGAAAGCCTGTGTGTTTTATTTGTGTTTCTAGTTTTTAAACTGCATTAACAAAAAGCATCAGACCGCATGTCTCAACTGTTTATTAGATATTTTGCTTTCACTTTGCCAACAAAAGAGCTGTCTTTTTGGGGACCAAATGGATTTCAGTGCTTTGATCAAGCTATTTTCAGAAGTTGTGTTGGCCTCTGGGAAAGGGAAGAGGAAGCAAAATATAAAAATGCTATGATTTTTTTTTTTAAGTTGTAATTTATAAATTTTAAGTTGGAAAATGGGTTGTGAGTTTCTTAATTGTCTAATGCTTAGGATTCCATTGAATCCATAAGTACTTAAGTCAAAAAGATAAAGCCAAAGTGGTGTAATGGACACCTTCATTAATTTAACTAGCCATCTTACTTTGTTTAGCAGCTCTTGTAATGTCTTTAACCTGATTTTGAATGATGGCCATGAATTATCCTTCAGACAGGACACAGTCCAAACTTTGAGTTATACTGCACGGTCTCTCAATTTTGAATATACTTGAAGCAATCAAATTTCTTTATGCTAATCGTAGAAAATGCTGTCCTCTACTGTATTAACTTTTTTTTTTTAAATGCAAGTATCTTTCTGTCTTCCTGTATAAGTCCTTTTCTGGGTTTACCATAGTATGCTGAAAAAGGAGAATGCAAGTCCAGGCACATCAGCGTGTACTTCCTTCCATTAGTCTTGATTCTGACATATTTGATGCACTAGTTTGTCTTGAGGAGCTGGTTGGTTTGAACATTTGCATGTGCACTTCCAGTTGAGTATTGCGCAGTGAGCCTGATTTTCTGTATTAAATGGGCACTAGTTACAGCAAGTCATATGCAAACCATGCCGCTTAAATAGAGTACTGGTTTGTTCTGCCTGTTTTGTGCTATTCAGGTTATAGAGTCATAAAAGTCAAGCTCTGTTTTATTTGCTTTAAACATTACTTTTATATATAAAAACCTAAGACAAAAACTTGTGGCATCTGTTGCCTTAAGCTGTCTCACTTGAGATTGGAAGTCAGTCTGCCGGTTTACACATGGTGTTACTGGTCAGCCTGATTTCTATTACACTTCCACAGAACCAGCATGGTTAGTATCTTTTTTTGTAGCAGATAGATTTCTGTAGTATAGATTTCTGCACCTAAGACCTTGTACTAGTTCTCAATATGAAAAGTTCTCAAGAAAAAAGTATTTTTAATAGTCTTTCTATTAAGATTCTTTTAAAATGCATCATCTGATATAAGGTTCTGGATGGAATATTCAGCTGAATAGACGTTCACAATTTTCTACCTCATTTCTAGTAACCGGTTCTGAGTTGGATAATGAAGGTGTTAATACATGGGGCTGGGTAACGAGATCATTTAGGGACGGAAAGTGCTGCAGATAGACATGCTGGGCTTCTTCCAGGGAGTTGTGCTGCACTCCTGTATTTCAGCAAATGTTCTATTTATTGGGCCTTCAGGGTTCCCATCAGAGCTGGATATGACAGGACGCGCAGTGTTTGTTAGCGACTCCCACGCTGGATGATTCCGTCAGCGCAGTGTGCTGCATGCCGAGTTTTGCTCTGATCTCACTCCTGTAACATACAGAGAGACTGGTTGTGTGTATTACACCATCAGCTATGTCAGACGAGCAATTTGGGGTTTTTAGAATAGTAGCCAGCGTAAGTTGGACTGTCATCTTCAGAGCTTCAACTTTTCCAAAAGAGTAAGGTAGCCTGTAGGTGTTGACAGGTGCTAGGCAGAAGAGAAACTTGTTTCATTTCAAAGACCTTTAAGGTTGCAACTAATCTTGATGGTTTCAGGGCAAATGTGTTTCTTGGCAGTCATCTATGTAAAAGAGTTTTTTAGGCATATTAACTTAATCAGCAAATGATTCCAGCCTTGCAACAAGGCTCATAACAATTCTTCCAAGTTTAAATTATTTTTGCATCCAGTAGCGTGCTAGTTCTAAGAGATCGTGCTGTACTGTGTTCTGAAGAGTTAGAAGGTGAGATTCTTTCACTACTGACTGAAGTCACTGGGAAAACTCTGACTTCCATAGAGTCAGGATTTCACCTGTAGCCTTCTGGTGTTAGAATACAATGCAAAACACCTATGGTCAGCATAGGAATTTACAGTAACCTAAAAATAGGTGTTTGTCAGTTTAGTGTAGTTTATTCTCTGCTTTGTCAAGGGATGACTGTAAGAGCTTTATTAAATACACTGGCTTTTTCGTCAGTGCTCAAAAGTATCTCTTTCCTCCACCGTGTACCTTGTGATAAAGCCATTTTGCACTTCCAGAGCCCAGTAAGTGTACGACCTGGACCTTGTAAGATACCTCAGTTCTATTTGAGACAGAATTCCCATGGAAAATAGTTGGTTATTCATATGGGGATGAAAATACTTACTCAGCAGGTGTTCTTAGCTTCCTGAAAATTGGGTATTTGAAATTAAATCTCTTCAACTATTCCAGTAGTTTTAACTTCAGATTTAGATGTTTATGAAAACATAGATGTTACTCATGCTTTCTTCAGTTACAGTTCTATTCTTCAGTTACTTATTTTTATAATCTTTAAGATGAATTCTGAACCTCTCACAAAAAGCAGGTTTTAATAATAATAATAATAATAAAATCCACAAAAGTACTTCTGTATGCACTGAAAACAGCACTGTGATTGCTTCTTAGTCAAGCCTACATAATTTTAAAATAGATTCCAGCATTCTTAATTGTCAGTAATCATAATTTATCAGTTCTACAAGGGATTATACATTTTGATTATGTTTTCCACAAATAAATTGTTACACATCCTAAGGTGTTTCTAGGAGAGAAGCATTGCTGTAGAACTGCACACAGGAAGGAGTGCTTGGGAGCTTATGGAACCTGGGCACTGCATCAGTCAATTTACAAACTGAATTAATAATTAAACCTTGAAACAGGTACACCTAATAATGTGATGCAACTTGTGGATGTGTCTTTGGAGAAAAAAAAAAAAGAGAATACTGACTGTACAGCAAAATTCAGAATCTTTGAATTAGGTAGATCTGTATCTTCTTAATTTGGTGAAATACTGTAGAGCGAGATAAAGTTAATAGAAAGATGCGCATCATGTTTAACAAGCTAAACACTGAGGAAAGATCTAGGATTATGATAGATTTCTCAGTTCTTAAAATTGAAATATGTATCAGCTGTGGAAAGGGGAAAAAATTGAGATATATTGATGGATATACTGTGATGTCTAGGTAAGAAATAACTTGAAAAGTTTTGGAGAGAAGAACACGTGGTATCACAGTGCCTTCAAAGATAGATGATAGTTTCTGCGTTACATGGAAATCTTACTATGCAAATCACTGTCACCATTCTTCATTCTTGCACAGAGACAACAATCCTCAGTGAAGCTCTAAACTCTGAAATTAAATTGACTTGATGTAATGCCAAAGGAAGGGGTAGCTGTCAAATTATTAACATAAGAGTAGCTTTAAGTGGCCTGACTTCCTTATTGGCAGTGTGAAGAAGTGGAGAAGAGCAGCCTTTATGACTCAGTTCTTGCTTTGTAGTTTGAACAGAGGTCTATATCTGAATCCTTGCATCAGCAGACTCTGTTGCACACCAAACAAATTTACAAGATCATTATTTTATACTCATTTGCAGTAAGACAACAGACAAAAGGCAAGGGATGGGTGAGGACAAAATGCAGGGAAAAGAAACACTGAAGAGGAAGCAAGCCTTGCCACATCATTCTTCTCTTTTTGCCGCTGTCTCGACTCCTTCCATCATTTCTTTGTTTTCAAATTTAAATTTTTTAGAAGCCAGAGAGCAGACAACACGGCATCAAGGTGGAGTAGATAATAGGAAGACCGTATCAGCATAGGGATGTGGAACCCGTGCTTGCTTCCTACAGTGATAAACTGAGCTGTGGATTATTACATTAAACTTAATGTATTGATTGTTAAAAGCAAAAATTTCCCAATTAAAGGAAGCGCTGGTCTATGGCAAACAAGAATATTGTGGAGTTGATGTCTCTGCATTACCTGAAAAACCAGTGAAAATGTTGAGCAGTCAAAAACCCAGTGCATGTTACAGGAGGCACCTGCTTGTATGGAATGGAAAAACTTGTTTTAAATGTTTAGGCTTTTGAAGCTCATATAAAAGGATAAATTGGAGAACAGAGTTCTAAGAGTTGTTAGGATTGCTAAGTTTGTCTTCTGAGCACAGCTACTAATTTTATTGTGGGGAGGGAGGAGGAGAAGAGGGAAGAAAAGGTTTTTAAAAAAAAAAACAACCCAAGCAAATAAACAAAAAAGCCTTTGTTGTTCCTCCCCCTTGCTGGGAGTTTCTGCCAGAGCATGGCCATACAAACAGGTGGTTAAGGGTTTGGCACACCTCAGGGAGGAAATATTCCAGTAGGAGTGAATGGAGACAAGAATATGGAGCTGAGGGAGGAAATATCCAAAGGAGGGGCAGGGGTCAAAGGTTCAGAAAATGGAAAAATTAAGCTGCAGAGGGTGACATGGAGCAGAGCACCCCAAGCAGTGCTCACGGCACCCTGGGGTTTTCCATGGAGCCAGCAGACATTGCTCAGTGGGGTGATGAGACATCTCTCTGCCCAGAGACATGAGAGGCTAAAGAATGGATAAATGGGCTGGATAAGCCTGAGGCCTGAGCCGGTGGGACCATCCTTATGTAGCACACTTACTTTGGAGGGTCTGAAGCCTCTTGGGCCATTTGTTTCTCTCCCTTTTCTGATGGGTTGGAAGTTTTTACCCCCGCACTTGTGGTGATGAGTGCAAAATCACCTGTGAGAGGGCTTTAGCAGGGGAAGAGAGGGTGGAGAGAAAAGGGTGAGAGACTTGGTCAGGAAAGTAAACCAGTTAACGCTTGTGAAAATGGGAACTAATAAGTGAAGTTTCTATTTAATGTTCCAGACATAAAGATTTTGCTAAAACATTGCATGTAATTGCTTTTCAGTTGTGGAAGTCAGAAGCTTGTAGAGGCTGTTTGACTGAAAAGTCCTGTGGCAAGTCCCACAGGTTTGGAATGCTTCTAAAATGAGTGAAAAAGAAAAGCAGAATGAACTTGACAGTCTCTCATAATTCACATCAAAAAATTAGAAAGACTGGGACTGCATTTTGTCAAGAAGGAAGTTAAATGTTCAGGAAGGTTTTGTATAAATCGTGCTGAAGTCAAGACAACAGTTGCTTTTAAAAGAAGTATTTTAGAGTGGGTGAAATGCAAAACTGCAGGTATTTTGTGATCTGCTTTCATTCTAAAATGGTTTTGAGTGGTTTTTTCTTGATAGGCAATGCACTCAGATTGCTTGTGGTAGGTTATTCTCTGAAGGCTCTGTTTCTGCTTTGCAGGGGTTTAGGTGGAGAACTGATGAGACCAGCTGGTAAGTATCACAGCTGTGGTGTGACAGCAGAAAATGTGCAGTAATTAATTCTTCTGTTTACTTTTTTCCAGTTTGTTTTGCACACATTGTGTTGAATGCATAAATTAAGTATGAGCAGTCATTAAAAAAATACAAAGTTTGAAAGCCAATCTGAAGACAGATATGCCAGAACTTTGGTTGCTAGCATAATAGTGAATAACTCTGTGTAAGAGTTGGAGATAGTTCTTGGTTTTATGTCACACGTTCTCTCCTTCCATTGTTGCACACAGTGAAATTTCTTCAGGGTTGAATTGGCTTCCTTCATTGATTTACTCAGATTCCTCTCCAGAAGAGACATGACCTATCCATTAAGACACATGTCATCATGTAACTAATGATTTTATCATAATACATATGTGTGCAAAGGTAAAGAATAAAGACCATACAAACAACAGTTTGTGGAAAGGATGGTATCAGAGAAAAGATGATGGTTTTGAAGATTGTTATATACAGAACCACTATAAAAAGGAAGAACACTGCAGGAAAAAGCATCCATCCAGGTAGCCTGGGTGGATAAGGAAATGATGCCAGCTTGAGTTTCCTGCTCGTGGGTTGAAGGAAGTGCTACATAGCAGATTCCATCTTTGAAGATATGAAGCCCTCCAGACTTAGTGGGTGAAGGAGTTTCAGTACCAAAATGGAGGGGTGATAAAGTAAAAGAGGTGAAGGGGGCAAGGGGATTTCTGCGGTCTTTGAATGAGTTTACAGTCTTGTGACATGATAATGCAGGCTGAAAGAATAGGTAGGGGTTTAAAATTTGTTTTAACTTTTAAGCAGCTGAGTATTTCATAGTATTGGAGAAGTAACAATGACAGTATTTTGGAATGATGCAACTGTAGAGGTGGAATAAGAGAAGAACTGAGAATATTCCACAAATTGCCTGCATGTCTAATGAAGATGATGGTCTCAACCACAACAGAGCATAAAAGAAGTGTAGAGAAGTAAGGAGGAACCCTAAGAGACTTGGGTTTAGTTACTTAACTCTGTGAATAAATATTAGAGCAAAGAAGCTGACATAGAATATTGAATGGAGCTTAAGCACAGGGAGCCTGATTGTGTGACATTACCATAGTGAAGACTGAATTCAAGAGTAGATTTGGAGCCCAGTAAGTTGATTATAAATGAAGAAGATGATGAACTGTGTACAGAGCCGGTGTAAGATTCAAAGATTAAGTTGTGGGAGGAGAGGAAAACAAAAAGGTGGCATTATATAGTAGTTTGTTCTGGACTCTCCCTCCTCTCCAGCAACCCTCCACAACTCTGAAGCAGTCCGATAGCGAGTATGGATGTATACCCGTCTGTTTTATTTGAACTGATCACCAGGAGGTGAAAGATACTGTATCCTCCAAGTGCTGCGTTTTAATTTGAGCAATGCAGTCAATCTGTTGTGCAGTAAAAGTTTGCAGTGTTTACTGTGTTAATGTCTATCCCCCAAAACAGCCTTGAAACACTAAAAAAAATACTATGCTGAAAGTAGTTTTGCAAGCTTAGAACTCATTTCAGTTTATAGATTTAAAATAATGACTTAATAATTAAAAGGACACATTCTTGTATTCTGAGTATAAAGCTGCACCTGGTTTTACAGCTCCTGGCTCTGTGCAGTGGACAGGTGACACTCATTAAAGGTCAAAAAAAAAACCCCCGAACAACTAATAAGAAGTAGGAAAACCTTTCATATATATTTTAATAGTTTTTTAGTAGCCACAGTATTATCCTTGCCCAAGTCAGTTTATTATCAACGCTATTACATACCCACTTACAGACTGGTGTAGAAACAGAACAGTAGCCAAAATGCACTTTAAATGACAGAAGAGGAAAAGCATACCACCAGGCAATGGATCTGCATGAATAATGGGGCATGTCAGAGAATGCTCCTGTCAGAGAACAGTCGCTGTGTGGTAGCTTTTTTGTGTGTAAAATCACAAGTGTAATGTCCTTTCAGTTTCTGATTTCATATATCTTGGACTTGTATTTGCAAATTTTCTGCAATTTGAAATTAATGCTGATGTAACTTGATGTGGTTGTATGTTCGGAATTGCTGCATTTTCTTATTTTTTGCATTTATCCATTTATCAAATTTATTTTCTTACAGTCTGCACTTTAATTGAAAAGCTGTCACTGTCAAAAATGCCATTTAGAGGAGATCCAATAATTGGTACGTCGTGTTTTAAATAACCTACAATTACCTTAGTAGTTATCCATTAAGCCAAAGAATTAATGAATGATGTTTTTCAAAGAAGCAAAATTAGCAAGATTGGGTGGCCTAACAAATTAAAAAAATACGGAAAAGATACACAAATACTGCAACAGGTGGTGATGTTATTTGAAGATTTGCTTTGTAGCTGTTTACTAGTATTTTTTTTTTTTCCCTGTCACATTTTCACCATTACCAGACACAGTGTTTGCACTATAGATGTTGTAAAACAAACTAGAGTAACTATGCTAATTGAGAATCACAACCTTGTTTATTTTGGAAAACCAAGGAAATAGATCAATATGTATAACTACTGGTCTTTTTAAAAAATCAAATGGAGAATGTTGAAGTTCAGGAAGTATGAAAAATTAATACCATTTATGTTCCTTACTATTTCAGGTGGCTGGCAGTGGTTAATAAATGACAGTCTAAGAAGTCTTCCTCTTGTCTCAAGCGCTGCACGACAGCTTGTAAAGGTACGATAGTTCCTTCTTCATGTAGTCACATTAAATACAGAATTAGAAGTATTTTTGCTTTCCATTGATGGATTATTTTCCATGGAATCTAATTGGTTCTTGAGTGTTTGTTTCTTAGATTAGTAAGAATGGTTGGTTTTAAACAAAATTTTAATTCCTCAAAATTCAAAGGGACGTTTTTGATCAATACTTGAGCAACTATCACAAGGGTTGTTCTTATATGTTCATTTGAACAGAGTAATTGGAAGTTGCTAATGGTTGCTTGAAGATACTTGCTCTTGGCTGTATGGTTACATTGATACTTTGCTTCTGTTTTGGTGTACTTGTAATATGTGTAAGACATGTTGATTTTGGTAGTTTCAGAGGACTTCAAATTAAAAAGAATTAAAAGAGAATTAAAAAGACTCTCTGGATAATGTCCTCAGGCCTAATGTCCTGAGGGCGTTTGTGTGAGAACATTGGTGTGATCAACCTGAGTTATTCAGGACAACATGCTTAAATTTTCCATTAAACTCTGTTGCAAATCCTTTTACTATGCTCTCAAGCTACTCTAATTCTGAATATTAAATCCCTTGATGGATGTGTTTCATGGTATTTTATGTACATGATCTTAACATCTCCAGTTATTTGCCTTATTTTTCCTGAGTAACACCATGCCAGTTTGGTCTTGTGCTCTTAAAGGCTTTACCAAATTAAAATGACAATTTTTGTCTGCCCTGTTAGAGCAAATAGCCATCACAGAGGCAATTTGAATATAACATATTGTATTCATTCTGTTAGTTTTTTAAAAAGAAGATTAAAAGCCATTGCAAGTATCTGGTAGCTCATCTTTTAAAGTCTTCCTTGGAAGACAGAGTAGACTAGAATGTATCCAAATCATTGAAGAAAATTAAAAGGTGAAATTTGAATTCTTGGAATATTCTTTTGACATTAGCAATTTATTCAAAGAGTTTGTATGTCTTATAACTGTAACTTCTAAACCAAACTTAGAAGAATTAATTATAGACTTTAGAGAATTTGTACTTGTTTGGTTAACATTAATTAATATTGAGCAAAGTATGTTTTGTAAATGTCAATTCTCACTTGATTTCTGTATATATTTTAGGCATAGATAATTTTAAGGGTGATGCTTAAGACATTGAAAAGTAATCTTTTTTCCTGACATAAAGTATACACTTCCAGTGCATTTAAGGTGAAAACCTTTCTCTTTAGAAAGTGAAGGATCTGAGCAACCTGATCTAGTTGAAGATGTCACTGCTCATCGCAGGGGAGGTTGGACTAGATGACCTTTCTTCAAGGTCTCTGCCAACCCAAATTATTAGATGATCTACAGCAATTAGATAATTATGTATATTTTGCTACTATAATGTCTGTGAATATTATTGAGATGGATACAGATTTTCTCTCAAGTCCTTGATTTTGCGTAGAGAAAAAGTCTGAGGTGTCTTTTGAGGACAGAATTAATAGACTGTGCAGGATTCCTGTGTTATCATTTAAGATTTCTTGTACCCAGAGAACATGAATATTAATAAGTATCATTGCTGTTAATACGAAGTGACAGTGTATAGTTTTTGTATGCTCTCAAATGTATTAGAATTTTGGTTAGCATTATATTATTGGCTGAAAAGTATAATTCAACCATGAATTTTATGAGAAAATTTGTTACATGCTTTTTGGAAAAGCAACTGTATTAGTTTTGTGTTTTATACTGGTGACCGAAACCACTCTAAAGATTAAAAGGTTGAAGCATAATACACAACCTTTGATCCTTTATAAACCAACTAAGATTGAGACACAAGGATTGTGATACTGGGTATTTTGTGGTTTTTTGCTTATAACTTTCAGGCCGTAATGTCTTTCTGTTTATTTCTATAGCCTTCTGGGGAAATATGGTTTGTTTCTTATCAATGTGGCATCAATATATTGAAGATGAAAAAAATGACTTCTGTATTTTTTAATACTGTGTCATCCTGGGCATCTTTGAACTGAAAATAGAGTTGGTAAATTACTCTTAATATCTTAAATATTAATTTAGCTTATTGGTACTTTTGAGGATTGAGAGTAGAATTTTTTTTTTTTTTTCTTACAAAGTTTTCCTGTTCAACTCTTCTTAAACCAGAACTGGGAAGAAATAAAGTAAATGTCAGTAGCTGAAGGGAATGATTAAAAAAAATTAATCTACTCTCTTTTTCCTTAGTCTTTTAATTCTAAGCACAGTCACCATAAAGTATGACTTCAGTAAATATATCAGGTTCACAGTTTTTCCTTTGTTACAGGAGTCTGCGGTCTCTGCACTGGCTGCGCTGTGTAATGAATATTACATCAATGAGAAGGGAGAAGCTGATCCAGCTCTACAGGGTAATGACTCATGTTTGCCATAAAGGCAGAAAATATTGGGCTGGACCTAACTTGCACTTTGGAGGTACTGAAAACAATGAGGAGGAGCATCACTAATTTTAAAGGAAAATTAAATGCTTAAAATTAAAATGCTTCAGGAAAGAATGATAAAACCAACTGAAAGTCTAGGGAATGTCTCAGGGGTTTTGCGTGTTTCAGACTGGAGGTGAATACAAGGTATCCTAATAATGAACATTAGGAAAAACAGTTTGCTTTTCTATTCCATACTGTAAAACAAAGAAACAAAGAATATGTGTTTGTGGCAAATCCTAAATTTTAATGAAGTGAAATATTTTCACATCATATTTTGGCATATTTTGACAAGCCAGAGATCATGGCTGACTTAAAGAAGAAGAATTGGTTAGGGATTAGAAGAGAAGGATAGCAAGGACACCCAGAGTTCTTGTAGATGTGTTTATGAAATCTCATCTGTTTGGATTTGAATCAGCAGTATAGGAGTAGACTTAAACTTTTGTTAGTTACATATAAATCAAGATATTTTTTAATACTGGTTTTCTTGGGCCTTTTGTTTCAAGTGTTAAATTGTAACAGAGATCAATTGCGGGATTGTATAGATAGATATTTTAAGAATAACAACATTTGTGTTCTTGTTTGTCTAAATATGACAGTGAAATTAAATATACTTAACAAAACAATGATTTATTTCCCTATTTTTTGCCATGGTTAAGTCATTCCTAAATCAGGTAACAGAATACCTTATTATTTATTTCTGTTATGGTAGTTCCTAGAATTAATTTGCTACCTATTATTATTAATTATTTATTAATTTGCTACCTACCATATATGGTAATATGCAGTCCATGCCCCAAAGCAGTTATGGCTGATGTATAAAAGCAATCTATCTTGATTTTTTTATTCTTTTCTATCTTGCTAAATCTCCATATTTTTGTAAAATAAAAATAAAAATTCCAAAAATAGCCCTTTCCTTCATGCATGTTTACACTACATGCCTGTTTTTTTGTGGGCAGCGTAAGAAGATGTGATATGGTACTGAGGCAGATTAAAAAACAAAACAAAACAAAACACCACCTCAGGAAAGGATAATATTTTGTAAAAAAAGAACACTTTGGGCCAGAGGAGACAATGCTAAATCAAAAAAAGCAAGATAAAAGTTTGGAAGGTTAATAGGTCACATTTTACGTAAGGATGAAATTTCAAGCTTCTGTAAAAGTGGACTGGAAAACTCAGCCAGACATCAAAATCCAGAGGGACGGAGGATCCGCTGGAAGAACGTGCAATAGATGGCCGGAGCTGTTCTGATGCTGTACTCTTTTTAGATGCCTGTAAAGCTTAATTGTTTTTTCCTGGATTCTAGGTTAGCTTTTCATCTGGCTTGTGCTTGAAGGAATCATGGTGATGTAGCCGTGGTGGTCTGATGGTATAGGGACATAATTAGATTTGTAGATACAGGCAAAAAATTTCATCAGACTTTCTGGAGTGATTTAGAGAATAGAATTGTGAGTTGGAAATTTTTCTGTTATAAAAAATCTGTAGTCACTTCTGTCTTGTTTATGCTTTTATTTGGCCTAGTACTGCTTTAAAGCCTCTTCCACACAGGGTAATGAAAATGCCCTTATACATGCAAGCATCTTTTAAAAGGAAAAACAATTAGGTATTTTCATCTCTGTAACAGTAAAAACTTTATTTCATGATCATTAAAATCTGTAAGTTGTGGGATTGACGTCCACTACTAAAAATCCTCCCTGTAGTATCTGATGTACGCGTATATATGTGGAAGCTACAGTGCAGAAGGTATTCAGTGACAATACAGGTGCCTTAGGTAAGTTGGTTAAAGCAGGTCTGAACATGATTAAGGGAATTGGAAAGAAAAATGGTTTTGGTAAAGTCTAACCAGTGTTTCACTATGGCTTGACAGCTGAGAATGAAAACAAATCAAAGATACTTTAGTGATTTGACATTCAGAATCTGTCCCTGCAATTTTATTGAGTCACTACTTTTGCCTCTGTTTGTTTCCACATTTTCTTTGTTTTATTTTTTCTGTCTTAATGTGTTCTGGTTTGGTTTGGATGATTTTCTCTTTTAATATTCTTTCAGGATGGGTTGTGTTGAATTAATGTTGTAGACACTTCATAGGCCATGTTGTTTTATGAAGCTGAGGACTCTTAGAAAAATATTAACATTTGCATTACCCTTGCTAGCATAATTACTAAGTAGTTATAAGTAAAGAGCTGCTCGTTTGCTAGTTGTCATGTCTTAATTTTATGTCATTTGGCTAAAATGTCAATCTTAGATTTGCATCAATCAAAGCGAAGACTGTCATAGTCTCACTGTCTAAGATCATCTTGCAGTCTAAGCAAGTGTTGCATCTTCGTATGGCCTCAAAACTCTACCTTACGCTCACTCTAGTGGTTTGGAAATTTTTAAATAGCAGATGTGCTTCTGTGAAGGTATTGCTAACCTCTGGACAGAGAACTAGTTTCCTGATATGAGGAACTAGTTGAGGCCTGCCAATTGCATGGGGATTTAAAAAAACAACAACAACAACAACAACAACAACAAAAAACCAACCTTGATGTGAGTTATGATCAATGTGTAGGTTCTTATGGTAACTATTCTTTCTTCCTCTAGCAAATATTGCTCAATCATTTAAATCTTAGATGACAGTAAGCAATGGCACAATTGTGTAATCTTTCTAGGATCTCTGTTTCTTTTTCTTTGAGGATTAAAAGTGCATTTTTAGTAAAGCAATTAATAAGACCACCTTTATCCTTTTTGGAAGAGTTGTGTTTATTGCAGCTATCTTGTTTTTCTCTGCATTTTGCAGAGTAGTTTGATATAGTGGCTGAAAAATCTGGTAAAGGAAGCTCTGTTAAGTCTATGATAACTACTACAGTAGAAATACATAGATTCCTGACTTTTCTCTTTTTTTTCTTCATTCATCCTTCATATCACTTTACTTCATTGTTGAGCCTCCTTTTTTCATGCTCAGTTCAGTTTATTCTTGTTCCTTTTGTCTGTGCTACTGTTTATAGAGCCATTGTCCCTGTTTTGTCATGTAACTGCCCAGAACTGGAGCACAGCAACCCTATGTCAAAGTGGTTGCTTCTTTCTGAGCTTTCTCCTGCAAAAAGCCCAGCTTTACTTTTGTCTCTATATAAGAAGTGATGCGAAATTACCTCATTGCTTAGGTACGATCCGTGTGTGTGTGTTTAAATCCTGAGTCCAGTTAAGACTTTCCTGGGGAAAAACTGACCTTGACAAATCCAGAGGCATCTCTTTTCTAACACAGAATACTTGTCTCATTATGGAAAATTATGACTTGCAAATATGAGAGAACTTGTTTTCCCGTGTTTTCATCAAGACTTGTGCTTATACTTGTTCTTTAGAGTTTTGAAAATTAAAACTTTTAAAAACTGAGAACTTTGGCTTTTCTCTTTCTGAATGGCTGGGATTAGTCTGTCTAAAAATCTGACTTTGTATTTAGAAAATAAGAATTCATTCATGTACTAGTGAACATCTTCAATTTTTTATCTTTTTTTTTTTCCCATAGGAAATTAAAGGTATTCTGTATTTTAGTTTAATGAATTATAAATTTTTCTAGCTGCTCAGGGGATCTTTTCCTGTGTTATTTTTTTTGCTAGCCAGATATGTAAATGATGTGGTAGTTGGTTTTCACTCTGCAATTGTATTTTTTCTAGATGAGCTGGTGACACAGTACGTTTCAGAACTCCAAAACACAGAGGAAATGATTCGTAGTGGCTTTTCACGAGCTCTTGGGGCCCTTCCAAGATTTCTGCTGAAGGGCAGGCTCCAACAGGTGAGAAAACATGATCATTGTAATGAGACGAGGGCACACGATATTTTGAATGAAACCTATGATGGTAATCAAATAAATAATAATGATCATAATTAAAGGTCTTTGTGAAAGGGATTTGGATTCTAATGTACAGTGACTCCAGAAAATCATAATGAGTTTAGCTTACCATAGATTCTGATAATTAAAGTTTAGTTTTGCTTTAGTAGTGTTAATGGAAAAGCCAGAGGTTGAATTATCCCTTTGCTATAGAACGTTTGTCCAAAGGGAAGAATGAGGCATACTGACAAATCCTGGTGAGAAACTGAACACTGTTGCCTACTTGATTCTTCCATACATGATTGAACTAATTCTAATATGATATTTAAATTAACACTTATCATAATAATACATTGGCTTTAAATATCTATTTGGGTTTTTTTTTCAGGTTTTGGAAGGTTTGAAAAAAGTTACCTTAATTTCCCCTGCAGACGTGAGCTTTGCAGAATCCAGAAGAGATGCCCTAATAGCAATTGCAAAGTATGTTTATAATCTTTTTTTTTTTTTAATTTTAATTATTTTTCTAGAAGATTTCTTCTGTTCATTCTGCTTTCTGTTGTGAACTTCTAGCGTAGTTCTTGAAATGAGTTATACTGTGGCGTGCACATTTTTAGTGTGGAACTGTGTGCATGTCCATTATTCAATATATCTTTGATTCAGAAGATTATCACACATCTGAGGATGGAGTGCAACTCTGATGGTTGTGGGTTTTTTTAATTAACTGAATAGCTAGAGCGTATTTTAAAGTTTGCCTTTCTCATGGGCTGCAATTTATTGAGCTTTATTGAGGAGGAAGAATGTATTTTTTTTTCTACTTTCTTAGTAAGAATACTGAATTGGTTTCAAGAAGTTGTACTCTTTCTCTAAAGGCGTATTTCCTGTGTTGACATGCTACACTGCAGTTTGTATTAGTCGTATCTTAGTATATGTGCCCTTTAACTGTTAACAGTGCAAAAAACCCATGTCTTCAATGTAAAGAAGTCTGTTAATAACAAATTCAATGCACATTGTATTAGCCCTTTGCCCTTTTTACTTACTTCATTTTAAGGAGAGTTCAGAAACTGAGAAGTACTGTAAGCATGTTCCTTGTAGTGTTATAGACATAAAACCCATCTGCTTATCTCTTGAATTTTCAGCCTTGCCAGTGTTCCTTTAAACCTGGACACTGATCAGAAATCATCATGTCAAATAGAACACAGTAGGCTCAGAAATATTCTTCATACTGTTTGTATCAGATGCTGTAGGTGTTTAGAATATTGGATGTCCAGGGAATGTTATTAAGCAACATAACAAAGCTATGATCTTAATGTTTCTCCTTGCCAGTGTTGTGGTTTTTCCCCTCCTTTTTCTCTTTTTAAAGGGTTTGCCAGACAATAGGTGTAAAGGGAGAAGGATCCCAGGAAGAATATGTTTGCAAAGATAATGTTACTCAGATTTATGCAACTCTACTTAATGGTGTGACTGACTACACGACAGACAGCCGAGGAGATGTTGGAGGATGGTAAGATGCCTTACAAAGAGAGACTTAGTTGTCATGTTTGATGTCTAATTAAAAACTGATGTTCCAAACTTGTTAGAAATAGGTAGCTCCAAGCTTCTGGAGATTTGAGTATAGGTAGAAATATACTGGGGGAAGAAGAGTAGAAAGTGAAAGGAAAGGTTGACGAGAATTTGTTTGTCCCTTGCCTTGAAAATAAGGAAAGTTAGGGAGTATTGTGTTTTAAACTGAAGTTCAGCCTTATTCTGGTTTTCTGGATGACCTTATTTTCTTTTAGTGAATATCAGTAATGTACTCTAGTTGTGAAAAGTACAGAGACTTAAAACATTGCTTCTGTTTCTTTGAAAGAACACATTTATTCCTAGTTAGTGACCTCTCCTGTGGTACGTTAGTGTTGTAGGGATTTTTTACCAGGAGAGGGAGCAGTTGCATAGCATGTTAGTGGCAAATTTTCAAGGTTAGTAACTCTTAAGTGAGGTGGATAAAAACTTTATAAATTGTGCTGTGATATTACTAACTCTTTGGTAAGTTTAGAGTTTAGATGATTTCAGCTATGAGATTGCAAAAATAATTAAATCATGAGTCTGTAGGAACGTATCTACTAATGTGAGGTCTGTATAACAGGTATAAGATTAAGTCTGTAGCACTCATTTTTATCATGTCCTTCAGTCTTCACAGTTCCCTTATATACTGAATCTTCTTTATATTTTAATATTGCATTCATCTGAATGTTCTGTATTTACTTCATCCTGTAGAATTCCACAAGGTAGTTACAGAGTAGTCTTCCTGAACACAAATATGCCTGGCCTGAAATAATATTTCTTAATAAAAATCATAGAATCATTAAGATTGGAAAAGAGCTCTAAGATCATCAAGTCCAACCGTCAAAAGTATTAAATTATCAGAATTCAGGAATAAATCATTATCTACAGATTTGAAATATATGACAATTTTGTTGCTATGTAGAAAGCTCAAAGCAGTAACATTAATCCTTGTATAGAGAAGCCATAATCTAAGTAAATTAATGTGATAAATTAATTTCAGTTGTGTGTTGGTTGGAAATTGATTTTGAGTAAAATGCTGTTTTTGACAAAGACTTCTTAATTTTATTGTCTTAATCCATAATTTTAATTTGAAAATATGCAGATATTTTCAAATATCTAGATGCTTTTAGATATGATACAATTCTATACATATAGTATCAGCCCTGTTTAACAGTATGGGTAATACTGTTTGTAAGGTAACAATGTGGTCATATATATTTGACCTGTCTGACAACTCTATGAAGCATCTCAGGGTACAGAGATGCGAGTTCAGGATTGTAAATTAACCACCTGGTGATTGTTCAGATCTAGTATCTGGCTATGCTTTTATTACATTCCAGGCAGGAAGCGGGGAGTGCCTGAAAAGCATTGATACGAAATAGTTTTGTTGGTTGGAAAGATTTCCTTGTTTTCCCAGTTTATTGAAGGAGCTCTTGTCTAACAGTGCTGAGTCACACGAAGGGCTTTGGTGTTTACTTTCAGTTGTGTCCTTGCAGAGTGTTTGTATGAAGTAACTGGTTTAGACATTTTTTCAGTCACTCTCCTCTTCTTTGAAGGGTGTTTTCAACAGTAGTATATGGTCATGAAACATAATTTCCTTTTAATTTAATTGAGTGGCATCTACTATATTGTTACTGGCAGCTAAGACTCAACAGGTGAGGAGGGATAGAGGACTGCTGAAATGAAAGGCTCCAAACTAGGTATGTTGTGGCTGTAGCAAAGCTGGCAGAGCTCGCAGATGATGGTTGTGACCTGTGATGGTAATTGCTGACTTGGAAAGGCTACAAGGGGCGAGACATTAGTCGTACCTTGCAGGGGAGGGTGTGCACTCCTCATTGCTTGTCATACTTCTTCCTGCGGCCAAAACAGTCTCAGTCACTTGCTTGCTCCCTCCTCCCTGCTGCAGGCAAAGCAGTCCAGTTCTGGAGCATTGGCTGTGTTCAGCTTCAGCAGCCATGCAGAGCGTGCTGATCCCTGTTCAGATCCGGTGTAATAATACATGATGCCAAGTATGTATTGTTTGAGTTTGGGAACTTCTTGTTTAGGCTCAAATTTCTGGTTACGTCTGTTTTAGAATTCTGTCCTACTCACTCCTGACTTTAGGGTCATTATTCTAATTGGTAGCCTCAGGTTTGCTTTAAAAGAAGAAAAAAAAAATACAGTGGCATTCTCCTCTTTAGGACTGCTTTAGCACAGGGGCAGGTGCTATAAAGTACATTTTTAATTACCATGAGTAATGGGAGCAACTGTAACACACCCTGCAATCAACTATTGTCTTATGTAGGAAGAAAAGTTGTGGGGGTGCTTTTTTTGTGCAATGTGTATGGTACTAGAGTTTTTCATTGCCAGCAATCATCGGGTGGTTTATACTGCTGTCAGACTTTAATCCTTGTGCTCTTCCGAGTCATTATCAGTCACTGAGATCTCATCAGTTCCAGCGTGAGCTGCAGTAGTTGTTATTCATAACTACTCTGTCTTTGACCAGAAGTGAAGTTCTACAGCGCAAAGCAGGAGATGGATATTTTGTGCCATGTTAATATTGGGCACTTTTAAAATTGACTAGCCTTGTTCCTTAGGGTACTTCACTACAGTATTTACAAATGTGTTGGAAAAGTACACAGGGCAAATAATCCAGACTACTTTTATCTGCCTGAGTTAGTATTTGTGTGTTTGTATTTTTCTTGTTTTGTGTGATGATACCCAGCTCCTCAGCCTTCAGCACTGGTTGGTAAAATTGTCATATAACAGGGAAATAACATAGGACAAGAAATCAGAGAAAAGTAGGCGTGTTTGATATCTCAAACTTAGAAGAGGAAACAAGGATGCAAACTAGTAAGGATCAAGATGAAGTCATTTCAGCTTGTGCAAGGGAAGGAGGAGCTTGGCTTTCCCTCTCCTCCTTCCTCAGCCATCAAAGAAGCAAGAGGGAGGTGAATGGATCTCTCGCTCAGAGAATGTAGTAACACAAGAGAGACACAGGTCTCTGTGTAGCTGAAAGAAAATGTAAGAGCAACCATATAAGGTGGTGAGCCAGAGGAAGGGAAGAGATACTAAGCTTCTTGCTTTCAACATTAGTCAAGATACTAAACAAGATGAGAACCTGCCTAAGTATAATTAGGTATTCAAGTTAACTTCCACATCTGACAGCTCTTGCTTAAGTTCCCCGTACCTGTTGTTTATCCTTCTGTCTATGTCTTGTTTTAAAAACAAAGCAAAACTCTACAAAGTGGAAATTTTCAAAGAAATCCTGAGGAAATTAAATACCAAACACCCATTAAAATTCAAATGTGCTTACAGCACCAGATTCTTTTAAAGCTTCTTTGGCAATGCTAGCCAAAATCAAGTCAAGAAACATGTCAATTAAAGGGGGAAGGGAATCCTTTCTCATAGCAAACTGTTCACTGCTAAATATTTTTGTGGCCTCCCAAATACAATTTTTTTTTTTCATTCTGTTTCTTTTAAACCACTGACTAAGATGGAAAGATAAAGGGAGAATTGCTACTTCTCTGGAGAGGCATTTTATTTGGTGTGTAATTTTTGTCTTTCTTTAATGGAATCGTGGGAAAGTTTAACCAGCTTTACTTTCCGTATGCAAACTTTATGTTTCTTTTGACAGATTGTTTGCTGGGATTTGTCCAATCTGTCTACAGGTGTTAGACATGAATATCTAATAGTCAGATACTATATGAAAAAAGTAGGAAAACTTCCCTTGATGAAAGATTGCCAAACTTGTATTAAAATACTTAGAAAAAAATGATGTAATTTACCTTTTTCACCATTATAACAAATGTTCTACCCAGTTTTAGATTGCATAGGCAACTGTTTTCAGCTTGCTTTGGAAATTAGAAACAGGAGTATGTCTTTTCATAGTAGGCAGGTACCTTTTTAAATAGTTCATTTTTTTTTTATTTTTTCTTTTCATTATTACTGAAAAAGGAGGGCATTACTGTGAGTGACTAATGTGATGGATGTGTTGGTCCCGGTCTTCTGCAGGGTCATATAAACAGCTGAGGATCTGCCATGGTACTGCCCATGTCTTAAGAAAGAAACTGCTTTTAACAACTTATGTATTGACAAGATGGGATTTAAAACAAGTGTATTGATTTTGGTTTTTGATTTGAAATTGCACTCTTTATCTTTTTTTTTTTTTTTTTTTATATTGATATTATATTTAGGCATTTTGAAGGCAGAAAATCTTCACCATATAGATAAGATGTGCTTCAAGCACAACTTACTGTTACTTTAGCTTATCTTTTTTGTAAAACTAATTATTATTTAGCTTAGAGATTTAAGCCATTCTGAGTCACAGATTTTTTTAAAAAATGTTGGAAATATTAAACTTGAAAATTTACAAGACTCTGACGCTTTTAACAGTGCTTAAATAACTTAATAACAAAATGTGGGTTGGCTTTTTTAGGTAATGATGATTTGAAGCAGACAAAGCACTTGGGTTTAAAAACATCTACTTGCATACTAAACATTACTAATAGTTATAAATTTTAACCTTCTTGTAATAAAGAATAAACCTGATGACATCTGGCTGGAATGAAAAATAAGATGGTGAGGCAGGGGACTTGCCTGGAAGGTAGGAGGACTGTTGTACCCTCTGCAACTGTGGGGGTACAGCCATACACAGTCCTCTTCCTCCCAAAAATACAGTAGTTGCTCTCAAGGGTCAACACTTTCATTGTTCTGAATTTTTTGCCTACGTCTGTCTAACTGAACTGTCAATGTATGTGTTCAAATAAATACTACTAGGTGTAACTACTCTGATGTATCTCTGTTTCAACAGGGTACGTGAAGCTGCTATGACAAGTTTAATGGAAGTGACGCTTCTGCTGGTTCAGAATGAAGCAGAGTTAATTAATGCCAACATGTATGCTACTTGTGCTATTTCTGTGTCTTATATCTCTTACAATTACATTCCAGTCCATACAATGAAGCTTTGCTTATATATTGTATACATGCTCCTTTACTGAGCATGACAGAACTTTTGATAGAAGTGCATCAAACTTACACCCATACCAATGCTGAGAATACTGTATCTGTTTTTCAGAGAGACAAACATTATTAAGAAAATCTGGGTGGCAATCCCACCTTTGAAATACAGTGCATCTCTGAGATTTGGTCTATACTTGCCGCCTCTGTGGACCTTGCCAGTATTGTTCACTTAAATAGAAAGCAAACTTGCCCGCATATCCAGAGCATTGCATCATTAAATTGGAATGTGATAAAATGTGGAGAGAAGTTTGTATTCACTTCTGTCTTCTTTGCAGAATTACTAGTAAGGAAAAAGAGAAAAACGTCATTTACCCTGAGCTCCTGGTTTTTAATTTCATGATACAATACTTGTAATAGTAAAAAAACCAACCAACCAACCAAAGCTTACTAGTTTTTAAGTATTGCTTGAGCTGCAGCAAAACTTTCCTAATAGTTCTAAAAAAACCGGTGTTGGTTTATGTCCAGTGGTTAGCTGAATATATATGAATATATACATGATTTCCTAGACCTTGTCCTCTGCTATGTGTGCAGTGTTCTACTTGAAAATGTGCTTTTCTCAAGGTTCCTGCTCTGTTTCCATCTGAAATGTAGTAGTGCATCCAAACCATAAAACACCTTTGTATCTTTTTAGATGAAAGTTGGTATGTGAATATCAAATACCAGGTAATATTAACATCATGACATTTTTTGACTGATCTATGGAAAACAAAGCTCTAAAGATTGCATCACCATGCTGATGTCTTAAATCACTTGTATATTCATTAAGAAGAGTTAGACCAGAGTACTTTAATAGTACCATATTTTTAATATCATTGCAACAATTTAAATTTAAATACATGTTCTACTGATTAAATTATGTATTATTTTCTCCTTTGTAGCTGCAAACAGATTATGTGCTGGTTGGCCCAACAGTCAGCTGAAAAAATTGATAAATTTCGAGCTCATGCAGGATCTGTGTTCCTTACCCTTTTACATTTTGACCATCCTCCAGTTCCTCACATACCTCATCGAGAAGAGCTAGAGAGAATATTTCCAAGGTAAAATATAGAAGAAGGTGTCCTAAACCAGTGAAAAGAAAAAGATGCACGTACGCAGTTACACCTAACACAAGCAATCTGATGTAATTTCTGTGCCCAAATGCCTACTATGTGTATTGAGGAATATTTAGTGCTGTTTATTGGAATTTCATTGGAGTGTACAATGAATATGCATAAACATAAAAAATAGAACTTCTTAAAGTATGAGTGTGTGTTAAAACTATAGTTTCTGAAGGAGGTAGGTCTTACATGGTCATGCTGCATAAGTCTTTCTCTGGATCAACCCCAATAATTTCTGAATCCATCAGCCAGTTTCATGGAGGATGATAGAATCATAGAATGGTTTGGGTTGGAAGGGACCTTAAAGATCATCCAGTTCCAACCACCCATCATGTCAGTGATAGATAGTTGGGAAACCAGTGATAAAGCAGATCTGCTGGCAGCTGTGTTTTGGTAATCCTGCTGTTTATGAAACGTATCTCATTTTCTTGTCATAATGTGAGAGCTGGAATTTATTGGCAGTCCCTCTTCCTGAAATAGTTTTTCCCCAAGTGGAAAACACTGATTGATCATGGTAATTTTGAATGAATTGTATAATTTTAACCCAGCTGTAGTTGCAGTAGTTTTCCAAGATGGGATTTCTAGTTAAAGAGTGAGAGCAACTCCTTCCTGAATGGTGGTTATAATGCGTGATTGGGATGAGGAATGTCCAACTCTTGTGTTCCTGTTGTGTTTGTTCAGGGGGTCTCAGTCTCCTGTAACTCAAAAAGTGCTGTTTGCTAGGCTGCTGATTGATCCGTGGTGAGGTCTATCTGTGTCAGCCTTTCCTGGGATAAGTCTGGTTTTGTATCAGTTTTTGGTGGGAGAGAACTGAGAATGGAAGACAAGGAGAACTTGTTTTCTTAGTGAGAGAAAAGTAGACGTGAAAAGGAAACTGCAGTTCAAATCCCTTATCTGAGTCAGAACAAGGGCTTGAATATTGCTTCACTTTACTGGCAGTGGCTGAAGTTTTGATTTGTATTTTCCCCATATGCTTAAAGACCAATGATTAATTTGATTTCTAGGTCATTCAGAGACTTTCTTCACTGATGTGCTGCTTGAGGTTGAGGAAGTATATTTGGAATGCACAGAGAAAACAGACGGTGCACACATACAAGATTTAATTTTTTTCCTTCCCCTTTCCCCAGGTCAGAGAAAGAGACTCTAAACTGGAATGCTGCATCAGAAGCCTTTCCTCGAATCACCCAGCTTTTGGGTTTGCCAGCGTACCAATACTATGTGCTTTTGGGTCTCTCGGTGTCGGTTGGTGGATTAACAGAGACAACGGTAAGAAAGCAGAATGGCTGTCCTGGTTTTGGTAGGAGTATGCATTTACCTGATAGAATTGTTGACTAAGTGTTTAATCTGTTACAGTGGATACTGCAGATAGTTATTTCTATAAGAATTTCAGATGTAAGATTTTTTAAATAATTCATACTGATAAACCTGATGGGCTTTATATTTTTAATCTTTAAAGGTATTTTCTTGAATTATTGAGCATGCAGGAAACAAAGAGTAAGGACACTTTGTTTCTCATTTCCTGGCCTGGTAGAAGCTGAGAGTTCCTGCCTGTTGGCTCAGTCAGCTCTTAGGTTTATTTGCTCACCTTTCCAAGCTGTTAACAGAGCAAGAACCGTTCAGCTTGCTAAATGTTGTGGCTCTTTTTTTTTTTTTTCCTTTTTTTTTTT